CACATTCATCTTACTTCAATACATTCTGGGCTGCAGAGTGGCAAGAAGGTAAATCTAAGGTCATATCCCCAGGGCCTCTGCGTCTCCGGTAAGAGTTCAGACCAGCTGAAAACACTTTCCTTGTGTGGGCTAATAAATAGTATCTTTCTTCCTCTCGAATTTAGAATCAATTGAAAGAAATACAGGAGTCAGATAAGTGAAGATCAAAATATCACCTTAATAAAGCTGACTAGAAGACATGGCCAAGTGGACATGCTCACACTTTCCCCAAACTTGTCCCAGACGTGGTCACTGGCACAGCTGAACAACACGGGCTTCCAAGCAGTGGCAGGTCTGTGAGCAGAGAGCAGACCCACTCCCTGCAAGACACAGGTCTAGAAAGAGTGGAGCAAGGGCTGAGCTGGGTCTATTCTCTCCAATTCATGTGTCTGATTAGTCATCCTATTTTCCTGGGAAGGAATGAATGAGTGGTGGGGAGGGACGCAGTGATTCTCAGCCCTTCCCATAGTTTGAGGCCACCCAGGGAACTAATGTGCAGCTAGGATTGAAAACCACTGGTCTAGCTGAAGTTATTGCACATGGAAACATAATGGATGGAGATACTGTTCTCCCCTATAACTAGGAAGATTCATTTTAACTATGCTCTGCTATTTTCATAAATGGCAGATTTTCTCTGATATATTTTCTTTCCTTTTAATACAAAGTAAATGAAAACAACTGTTTCCAATTTCTTTTTACCGGTCAGACTATCTTTAGGCACCTAAGGTGTTACCTTTTGCCTCTAGGCTTGTGTTAGCGCTCTTGTTTGAGAGCATTACCTGGAGTCATAAAACAGTTCTCTTGGGAGAAGGGGTGGGTAGAAAAATAATGTTAGTTCATAAAATATTCTTCAGGCATTTTTCACTGAGTTTACAAGTGCCATAATCAACATGATTTTCATTTTTTCTTTGTTCAACCAAAAGCTATGTATATCTTGAGTAGCTTTTATTTTTTTAAGATGGCTGTGGTGATGCCCTATCTCCCTCCTGCTAAAGTTTTCAATAAACCAAATATAATAATTAATGTGCTTCTGACTGTATCAGAAACTACAACACAATTGGAACTTTATTTGCCCTTTGATGGCCCTTCATGACATACCTTAATTTCTCATGGCATGCCTCTCACTTGGTTTACATCATAGAATTTCCGGCGTCTTCTCAGAAATTTCTTCACCTCACATGTCTTCCCACCTGTTCCTCCAGTTCTGGTTTCCAGGGCCCCCTATGGCATCACTTCCCTCCCTAGCTCAGAGGTCCCCTGATCCATCACTATTTCCAGTATTAACTTCCTCACGTTCTTACTCTTCTGTTTCACTTGTGCTGTAATTTTCCAAATGACAATCTACCTCGGTAAAGAACATACACCATTAGGTTTTACATCTGGCATGTATCGACTCTGCTATTTTAACTGCAGTGGACTTCTGCTAATTTTTGCTCACTATCATCCAGCCCCCTCTTTTTTGGTAACATCTTCTCAATTCTCCTTTGGTGAAGTAGCTGTCCTAGGCTGTATTTCAGTCTTGGAGGCAGCTCCCCTAAGAATGTGACTCTGGCTAAGGCAGTTTCTCTCTCTTGCTCTCTGGAATTGAACCCGAGTGGAGTGATCCAAAGATATTAAGTGATTTATACAGGCAGCTATGTCCTAACGAATGAGGCTACCCATTTCTGCTACTAGACCTGTGAAAATGCTTTGGTTTTGTTCTTTGCATATTGGTTCATTCACCTCCCTTTTGCCCCTTTTGTTTTCCGTATTCTTCCAACGAAATTCCTTTCATCTTGTGATAAAAATTATTTTCTGTTGTTTGCAACCACAAAACCCTAATTAGCCATGGCAGCTTGTATTAGTGACTTAAATTCCATATAATCAAGAGAATTGTATTTACATATTTGGATGTCACGAGGATTAAATGTGAAAATGAACTTAAGAGGTCTGGTATGCAGTAGCCACAATAAAGCCATGCCCTCTAAGCTCAGGTGAACCTCCAACTGAGTTTAGCGGTTTCTGGGCCATCTGCTTCTCCAAATCCCCTCAGCAGATTTTACAAATATTTACAATTCCTTTTAGGCTGCCCATTCCACCTCCACCTCATTCTCAACAGCCTGTCTGGAATGTCACAGGAGAATGTCGAGGAGACAGAGACACCAAGTTTGCAGAATCCTGGAAGACTTTTTAAATCTTGTGATTCATGCCAGTGTCATGATGTCATAAACTTGGCTCATAAGAATAAATTTCTGAAAAAACGCCAAAATCTCCTTAGCATTACCTACATCGTTTAATAAGTGTGTGTGATAATAAGAGTGACTTACTGGAGTGATTCAGGTTGTAATCTGCTCTGCCACTGAAATTCTGCTTTATAATTTGGCAATGTTGGACTTGAAGGTCACATCTGGTAGTTTATCTTCTTACTGTGGGTTTCTGGTATGCCATGGAAGACAGCACATCCAGTCTTTGTTTGAACAACTATCAGGATCAGAATGCTCCTGGTTTGTCCTGGTACCAAAGATACTGCTTGAAATTTTTTGTGTCTTCTTTCCAGCTGATCATTCGAATGTCAAGATTACATGCAGCTACAAATAATTTATGTAGTAAAGGATCGGAATTATGTCTTAATTATGAAAGGGTCTATAAAGCATTCTCGACAGATTTTAATAACAAAACTACAAACACATCAGTATAAAACAACACCAGCCATACATTTATGCAATTCTAATAATAAATAAAAAATAGCACTATGAGATGAGGGAATATTGGCCAACTTGAAAAGATAGTTTCAGGGTATCCAGGATTAAGCCTCCTACCTTTCTCGTTGATTTCTGAACAAGGAGGCTCCCTTTATATATTATTGTTACTCTCCCTCCCTTCCTTCCTTCACTCCTTCCTTTCTTTCTTTCTTCTTCTCTGTCTTTCTAAAGCATCCTAAATAATCTAAGACTAGCATTAAGTTTGTTAGACATGGCATTTTCTCAGTATATATGTTTCAATTT